CATCCATCCATCCAACCAACCAACCAACCAACCAACCAACCATCCATCCATCCATTCATGCAACCATCCATCCATCCATTCATCCATCCATCCATGCAACCATCCAACCATCCATCCATCCAACCAACCAACCAACCAACCAACCAACCATCCATCCATCCATTCATGCAACCATCCATCCATCCATTCATCCATCCATCCATGCAACCATCCAACCATCCATCCATCCAACCAACCAACCAACCAATCATCTGTTTTTTCAGGGTCACGGGGTCAGCAATGTAGTAAAATGGTCAAAGTTACTCATCGTAGTTGTCCACCATCTAGAATGATGGTTCATACTTGAAGCTATAGACAGTGGATTTGTGTGAAATCACACTAATATAGTATCAGTACTTGGTGGATTCTGAAACTATAAAATGATTATCTTACCATTCTGGTACCACATCATTTGAAAGCCAGGCATGAAGATGGAGGAGTCTGTTCTGAAAACCATAGTGAGGGCGGAGCTTGTGGTGCTGTTGGCTGGTGGTGGAGAACTTCCACAGAATTTACCGATCAGAGGAGCTTGCTCATTGGGCCCATTATAAAGCTAGAACAGCAAAATTTGGACAACATGGTAAGTAAAAAGCCAAATACACTGAGTTTGTTTTACAGAGAGGAATCAAAACACCTGACAAATGTGTACCGCATGTGATGCGAATGACAATAAAGTCTCCTTGAATCCTTGACTATGACAACAGGAACTGAAAATATTTAAAATATTTTTGCGTCTTTCATTAGACTCCAAACCTTTCCTGTTTACATTACTTTGACACTTTTTGTAATTAAAATTCATAACTTGCTACTTATTTGCACTGGGTCTAGCCCCAATTTACAGTTCTTCTTATTCTATTTGGGTTTATTGTGTAGTTATATTTAACGTTTACTCTATTTCTACCCATTTACCTTTTTTATTTCACAACACAGGTACATGAAGATGCATAAAACAAGAATTTCATTTTAACGTGTGATGTGTATGGTACACAAGACAACAAACTAACTTCAACTATATATATA